CTGTCTCAGTGTGGTTCTGGCTGCTGGCTCTGTCCTACCTTCAGAAAGGCTCCACCGCTACCTTTCATGCATGCGAGAGCAGCGCTGCCTCTGATGGGCTGGCTGGCAAACCGGGGGCCAGGCACTCGCCAGGGTCAGGGCTCTGCGGCAGGTTTGCTGGGCAGGTCGCTTCAGCACGGTGGGAGTTGTGAGCACCAGCAATTCCAGGTAGGAACAGGGTTCTTGTTCTGTGCAGAGTGCTGTGTACTGCAGGACCTTGGTCTCTGCACAGTAGCCTCCATGTGCTGCTGTCATGTGAATAATAACAAGGAGATAAAGATGAGGTCAAGGAACATCTCTTAAACTTGATAATTTTCCCTGATGGGAAGATTTATGTTGCCGTTTCTTGCTAGGCTGGAGTTGTGCCAGTTTTTGATCAACGTCCAAGTAACCATGCAGAAATACTATACCAAGTGAAAAAAACAAAAACACCACAGAGTTGCTGAGTTCAAGTGCTAACATAAAGCTTGTAAAGCTTGCTACCTTCTAATTTTGCAATCAAAACAAACACCATTCTGTACTGTGTGAACAGCAGCAAGGGAGCGAGCCATCCGTTAAATGTTTGGCCCTGCCAAAGGAAGTGGCAGAACCGTTAGCTGAAGCAGCAGGCTTGCTGGCACTGTGCACATTTCATGGGGCTTTATAGCTTCTTTTAAAATAGTCTCCACCACTGCAGACAGTCTGTGGGCTGCATCAGCTGAGTAAAATGTTATCCCACTAGTACAGGGAATTATTAACACATTCTCTCCATGCCAACTGTCTCTCCACTGACTGACCCATGCAAGCAAGTTGGTGAAAGAAAAGTTAGAAAAAAAAATCCTTCCAACCTAGCAGGGTTTTTTGATGACTAGTTTGACTGAGGGATGTGCCAAACCCCATAGCCCATACTGAGGTTGTAACTTAGCACAAATGGACAGACTTAAACTCCAGAGAAGCAAGATTTATTTTAGAGTTTGGCTTTGGGGTTTGCTTTTAGTTATCATCTCGGACTGGGGTGAGTAAGAAGGAGAAATGTGCAATGTTGGGAATCAGTGTATAATCTTAATGTACGACAGCAAAAGGGTATAATATAAATTTGTAATACCAAAATTGTACATGTGCAGCCAGAAAAAATCAAGAACAGCTTCTGTTACTTGAATATTACAGAACTGAGGAATAGGATAGGTGGTAATTAAAAAAAAATAAATTTAAGAAGTTGGTACTTCAGGGCTAAAAGAACTCCAGCCTTAGGCCCTCACTGGAAGATGCACATCAAGTGTGTGCCAAGGCTGGTTTTGGCAATCTTCATTCCAGGATTTGTATGGTACCTTGTGCAGTGATGTCCTGGTTCACAACTCATCTCCCTAATAGTTTAAGTAGTTATTGATGCTAATGCCATTTCAGTAGATGCTCAAGTTCTTAGACTAAAGCTGTGTATTTTGATTCTGCTTGTAGTTACGGGACAGTTTGTGTAAGCTTGCTTGTTGTTCTGTGTCTGAGTACTTAAGTGTCACATTGGGTGATTTGTATGGTAAGTTGGGATGTCAGATGGTCGTGCCTCTCACTTTCCTCCTGTGCTAAATGAGGTCTGACAGCTAGTAGGTTTCTCAGGCAGGGCCGAGGCCTTGCTGAATTCAAGGTCAGATGCTTTTGGACATTTCCACATCACTTGCACCCTCAGCTTCCAGATTCCTCATAATCCTGCTTTTCACAGTCTTAGAAAGAATGTTATTTTGAAAGTTTAGAAGTACAGGAATGGATGTAGAAACACTTATTTAGTTTGGAAAGTTAAGGAACAATCTGATAACAAAGCAGCTTCCCCAGCAAATGATGAGGAATATGATGGTCCAAGGGTTAGAAAGGTGCAGTGAGGCACATGTGTGTTAAAGCTGTGTTGATGCCAAAACCAGATCCTTCCAGTGATGCTGTGATAGCCCAGGCAGCTGTCTTTCCCAGGCATTCCCGTCTTTCAACTGCAGGATCCAACGTTTAAGTGACAGTGCTGCTAAGAGGTTTGGGGTTTGTAGCCACTTTTGGTTGCAATAACCAACGAAGTGTGCAAGTTAGAGGATCAGCTGTCAGAGTGCTAGCTGAGTTGGGTGTCGTGATTCTGCCCCTCGTGCTTTTGATGATGTTCCTAATTAAAATCCTTTCAGAGCTGTGCAACTGATGACTGTTACATGTCGCTCTTACGTGGACGGTACAAGCCCTGTTTAAGCCTGATGATCAAAATATGCACGTGAAGAGGCAGTGCATGTCCCAGAGAGTCTGCAGGCTGACTGGGTGGAGCAGATGAAGACAGAAGGGAGCTGTCACTATCTCCATGGCACAGATGAGGAGCTGTGGTGTGAAGATAATGAACTCCTTGGCTAAGGTCCGAGAGAGTCTGGGAAAGGCGGGAGGTAGATCTGTGTTTTTTGAAATGCAATTCTGGGATTTGATAATTAATTTTAAAAAAATCCTTATCAAATGGAGTTTGAGAAGTAGGAGGACATCAGGAAATTCAAATGAAGAGAGAATCATTATATTTAACCTTAGGTTATTTGAAGGGAAGGCTTAAGTTACATTGCATAGTTTCAAACTTGTGAGTGAAATGCTCTATAGTAGTAGGAATTGCTCTCTGTGGACATTGTATTTCCCGTCAACCTTTGTGTTGAATTCAGTTTGTTAATCAAGAGGACAGCGAACAAAAATGATTTGGTGGTGGTCATCATGGGCCTGCAGTCCAGAGTTGCATACGCTCAGAGGATGCATGCTGCTCAGAGGCCTTGGGCTCTGAAAGCCATGCAGAGCTGCCCACAAAGAGACCGAGTGAAACTTCTGAATGATCTTCTTCTTTTTCATTTTTCCCCACCACCACCACTCTTGATCTGAAGATTGCCTTATACAGTATTTCTGCTGCTGCTTTGAGTCGATGGAACATCAGAAGAAAATGCTTCCCAAGTTTCTTCCAAATCTGAAATCCCAAATAACATCCTAGTTTTGAAATTCCTTGCCTAGAGAACACCAGCATCCCTCCTGGCTGCTTGGTGGTCACCCTGCCTGCCAACAGCGGCATGACCAGCAAAGTGGGACAGGAGGACTGGGGAACAGACTCGTCCTTTTTGAACTGCTAAGCTGGGCTCTTAAGTTACCAAAGAAATATGAACCAGAGGCATGATTCTGAATCTATACTTGTGTCACACATGGCACAAGAAAGTCCTACTGTCATCTCTGTTTTTTCTACATCCTTGGAATGTTACGCATCTCCTGAATGAATGGTGGCAGAGTCATAACCGGTCTTGTCTGTTCCCTGCACAAGTAAGCACGTGTACTCACAGGTTTGTTTTGGGTTTTTAACAATTTCATTTTCTGTAGCAACACTAAAAAGAGTTAACCTAACAACTCAGGAAAAAAAAAACCAAACCTAAACCAGATTTGGTTTCTGGAGCCAGGGACAGCTGTGAGCCAAGCCAAACTGGTCCATGGCAAGGGGCACCCAGCAGCTTTGGCACCTGGAGTATGGGCTGCTTTATGCTGTGGTTCCCTGTGTCACTGGGATGATGTGTGAGTGTTCTCCCAGTTCTGGAGCTGCTGGGGCAGCAGCTGGCCTCCAAAATACAAATATCTCCACTACCTGGGCAAGTCTGAGAAGACCGTTATTTAAACATCACTCTCTGCTGCAGATCTATTTATGTTTGTAGACATCTATTTTTGTAAAATTCCCCCAAATTAGGTGTTTACTTTTTGCCACCATCTAATCAGCAACTCAAAGGGTAAGTTGATGTTCTATATTTAGTGCAGATACTTAGTAGAGATGATTAGAAGATGTATCAAAGAAGAGGGCTTTGGTTTTTTCCTAGGATGTCTTACTGCTCTCTGCTTTTTCCTGTATTACTGCAGCAGCTTCTCTGCTTATGTTTCTGAGTTCTGCCAAGAAACATATGTCAGTGAGAGTATTTGTGTGGCTTTCTGAATGTATTTGAAATAATTTGCCTTTATAAAATGATTGTGGTCTCATTTACCATGAGAAGAGTAGCTGCAGTTCTGATGTGCATTGAAATATCAAACGTTTATGGCAGATGACATGGCAAAGCTATTTACTGTGTGACATACAAGACGCAGTGATCCTAGACCTTTTTGCTTCCCCTGCAGTTTGCTGGCAGAAAAAAGTAGAATACTCAATGTAATCTGTGGATTCTTCCGTATTTCACATGTGCCTTTAAGAAAGAGCATGACAGTGTTCTCTTAGCCAGGCCATGGTACATAAGTATGGTATTAATTATTATTTATATTCAGCCTGCATCTTGAGAGTGAGTATGAAACTGGAGGTCCAGTCAGGTACATGTCGCAAGGGACATAGCAAGATATTTATGAGATTCAAAGTGCAGATCACTTCAAGCTAGGATGCTTCTGGTGACACCTTTCATTCACAACTGTTCACAGCACCTCTGTCTGGCCCTTCCTTCATTTCTCTGGATTGGAGTCCTCTGACAGCTGTCATCTACTCTTGATTATGAGATTTTAGACTAACCGTTGCACCAGTGTCGAAACTTGTAAACTGACTTAGCACCAACCAGCCTGGGTCTAGAGACAATGCAGGGAAGTTTACCTGGAGCCGCAAGCTGGAGATTTGCCAGCTTGCATCAGCACACTCATGGGAGTCTCTGCATTACATCCTGACTGTATTCCCTTACTGTATTTTTATGCAACCCCACATGTTTTCTTTGCATGAACATACTCTCTGAGCCAGATAAAGCAAGAACTAGTCCTATGAAGCTTACTGGCTCTCTGCAGGCTTTGAATTTAGGAATTGCTGCTCCACTGTCTCTTGGGTCTTGAACTGTGCCATCTGTGTCATCAAGATAAAGTGTGTTACAGGGGATCAATCAGGTGGGTTGAAGAGCCTGAGTTCAAACACTATCAACAGCAGAAGTCTCTTAACATACCTCCTTCAGGTAAGTATGTATTTACACATTGTTCTGTTCCTCTCCTTTGATCTAGGTTATATGGTTGGACCCTGGAAATGGGATGTCAGTCCCGTTCAGGGAGCATAAAGGAAGAAAGAAGATCTCCCAATTGCTGCTGCTGTGACAGCGAGTGAGAGCAAGAGCAGGAAGATGTCGACAGTCACGTCAGCCATCCAGGCTCCTCAGGGCCCTGTGAATCCACCGCCTCCGGAAGTCACTAATCCTAATAAGCCTGGCCGGAAGACCAATCAATTGCAATACATGCAAAATGTTGTGGTAAAGACCTTGTGGAAGCATCAGTTTGCTTGGCCTTTCTACCAACCGGTTGATGCAATTAAATTAAATTTGCCGGTACGTATCTATCGACTTTTGCTCAGTTTTCTGTTCTTAGAAAGGTTTGTGCTGGCGAGATCAGTTTTCTGATCACTGGATCAGAATGGCTAGGTGGATTTTGGGGATATCCTTGAATGCTCTTAGACTCGCTAAATTAGAAGATGATGCCTTTCAGAGGTGGTGAGTCTCCTTCTCTAAGCTGCTTCTTTCCAGGAAATGAGAGTCCCATACTCTTCACCTCTTCAAAGAGCTCTATAAGTGTAAAAACTCAGCAATGGAGACATACCTGACCGCTCCTACACACCTGCTTCACTTCAATGTGGACACTACGCACGTACCCCTGTCCGCTGTGCTGTCTGCTCAGCCGGGCAGCCCATTGCAAAGGAACTCTGGCTGCTTTGAGCAAGAAGGTTGCATCTAGATTCTGAGGGAGTGTGATTCTGGGATGTAAGGTCAGGAGAGCTCCAGTTTTCACAGGTTATAACCCAGTTTTATGGGCTGGATTACAAGTCTTTTGACCTCTGAAAGTTGATGAATACTGTTGATAATGCTACACTTAACACCTGTATAGTATTTCTCTAGATCTGTGCTCCTTTGTGTCGTCTTTTTGTAGATTTCATTTCTCAGTGAGGCATTTTGAGCTGGTTTTAGCACAGGTTACCAGAGAATTTAAAAGAGGAGTCAGTTGGAAGAACAGTTGTTTTTCACATGTGGCCTGAACTTGCACAAGCCTAATAGCCTGTCGGATTGTCTTTTCTGCCCTAGTGTGCCTTGCCTGGAAATTTTAGTGCTTCAGGTGATGCTTAAGGGTTGGGCTGAGAGCGTGGCCGGTGGCTGTACGTGGCTTTGTGTATGTGTGCAGCAAGAGGGCTTGGCTGCTTTTCTCCAGAATGAGAAAATTACCATGTGTAACCTTGCATGCCTACAGGATCTCCAGCCTATTCACAGCCTCTACAGATGCTTGAGACCAGCCCAGAAAGAAACTGGGTTAACGTGTGAAAGCCTTTTAAGGGCTGAAATGCCTGTAAAAGAGGCACTGAAACATTTAGCACAGTCTTAGCCAGCGCTGGCACTGATAAACTTCTGTAAGTGCTAAAGGCAGTCTTTTAAAGAGGGGGGCAGAAATGCTCTTTCCCAAATTGCAGCCAGTCCTCCGTTAAACTGACCACTCTGCCAAAGCTCCTGCTGCCCTGAATTTGGGTCCCAGGTGAGTACGGGGTGCATCACTGCCCTGCTAGGCTGGCTGGCGAGTGCTGCTCCAAAATTGTGCCTACAGCATCGAAACAGGTAGCAAGGCTGCAAGCAGCTTCCAGGGAGAGCCGCTTCGAAAGCATGGCTTCCTCCACATGGTTCTTAGCACCTTCCCAGTCCAGCTGCCCTTACTAAAAGCGCGTAATGTCCAAGTAGCAGGTTTTGAGCATGTTTGAGCATGTGCTGGGGGCAGCTGGGGAAGACTTACAGTTGTGGAAAAGAGTTCTTGTGCTAGGTAGTCAAGTTCAGCATAATGCTAGATTGAAGAGCTACAAATTAAAAAAATGAATGAAAGTGAAAGTATTTGCAATTTCCACAAAAAAAAATTTGGGGATATGTTGGGTTTTTCTGGACGGCAAATGAGGAGAGAGCTGGGGCTGGAGGGAGGTGTGAACAGCACTCTGTGTGTCAGGAGATGTAACGTCTTTCCTGTATCTCCAACAGGATTATCACAAAATAATAAAAAACCCCATGGACATGGGGACGATCAAGAAGCGCCTGGAACATACCTATTACTGGAGTGCCAGTGAATGTATGCAGGATTTCAACACCATGTTTACAAATTGTTACATTTATAACAAGGTAAAGCCTTTAGCTGGGGCATTGCCTAGAAAAAACCCACCTTAGAACTGCTGTAACACAGATTTTGAACGGGGCCAGCTCCGCTGTGCTCTGGGCCCTCCTTGCAAGGATTTGAAATGCCACTAATTGCAACCACATTACTTGAAACGCACAAAGCTGTCTTTGTGCTTTGTCTTTCTTCCCCCAGACTAGTTAAAATGGCAAATGTGCCATTTAGTTATAGGTAGTTGTGCGTTCTGGGGTTATATAGCAAGTTTTTACTCCTTTTATTTTCAGTTAGGAATTCTTTAAGATGAGCTACAGGTTATGCAGGGTTTGCAGGTGTTCTGTGGGGTATTAGTGCTGTCTCGCAGTAAATACTGTCTCTCAATAGCAGAGGGCAGTTCAGGAAATAGACCTCTGCTCTCTGAATATGTCTTGTCCATACTTGCACACCTTTAGATTGCTTCGTATTATTTTGGGTTGGGCTTGTTTACTGTTTTGTTAGGTTGTTAAGAGGCTCTATTCTTCGTATTATGTTTTCTACAGTGGTTTGTCGTCATTCACCCACACTGGAGAACAAACTGAAATAAACAAATTAATTAGTTTGAGCCACAGAGTATGTGTTTATGCTCTTCTTTTGGACCTGCTGGCAAGCGGGAGGACAGCTCATCTGTTCCAGTTTGTTGCTTCCACGCTGTTTCACAGGATGAGGGTTATCAGGCTGCTACTGGAAGTCCTGATAACTCTGGATGCAGCATACTTAGAGGCTGTAATTACTGCATGTTAGACCAGAAAGAAAGAGCAGGAGGGTAGCATGCAAGGAGGGAGATGAGCTAGTCTGTTTACTGTTGGATACTTTCATTTATTTGAAGGGCAATGTCACTGAGGATTTGAAAGCCTGACCTTGAACCTCTCTGCTTCTAATATGTGAATGATACAGGGTGGGTTTGTATTCTTCCTTCTGCAGCCCACAGATGACATCGTCCTCATGGCCCAAGCCCTGGAGAAGATATTTCTGCAGAAGGTTGCTCAGATGCCTCAGGAGGAAGTTGAATTATTACCCCCAGTTCCTAAAGGCAAAGGTCGCAAGCCGTCAGCAGGCACGCAGGGTGCAGGTATGTACCCAGCCCAGTGACACGAAATGCTGTGAGCCTGCTCCCAAGGCCTGACCCACCTTCCGAGCTGCCTGGGTTTGTAAGTGGTGAAGAGGCTGGGAAGGGAACATGTAATCTAATGGCTAAAGCAGTGGAGAGCAAAGTGTGAGTTGTCTAGATAATGTTCACCTGGTGTTTTGGGAGTTGTGTGTCTTAAGGCCACTCTGCATTTGTCACCTTGCCGGCTGTGACATACCTATTGCTTCAGTAAGGGAGAGCAATGCTGTTGTTTCTTGTAGGCAAAGGAAAAAACAAGGCAAGAAGAGATGAGGTAGTTAGACATGCCAGTCTGCTGCAAGTGACAGACCATGGCATGGAATGCCTTTATAGACCTGGGTTTATGTAGCTCTCTCAAGGTCCTGGCAGAACACTGACACAGCGGAGACTAGGACTCGAATCATGCCAGTCCCATAAACCCTCTATAACATTTTTTTTTTTTTGCACACATGGTTGTGACATCATAAAATAAAATTGGTTCGACAGAAAGGATTTATAAAGCTGTTGCAAAAGGCTGCATAGAGCATTGCATATCAGTAGAAACATTTAGTTCAGTTTACCTAGAGTTGATTTTAGATAGATTTAGGTCTAAAATGCCTCTAAGCATGGTAAAACAGTTTATAAAGAAGCTTGTGGGCTGAATTCCACTGTTGCAGTTTTTTTATTCTGTAAACTAGGTCTAATTGTTGCTCTGGGAAAGTCAACTGTTCCTCTTTGTTTTCCCACATCTCGGGTACCAAACGGAGCTACAACGTCATCCGAGCTCAAAGAAATTTGAGGTGATGTGGTTTTTTAGCATCCTTTGATAAAAGCTGCTAGAAAAACGTAGAGGAGTATTACTTCTTTGGTTTAGTTACTAGATTTGTCCCCCATTACACTAGTAGGTCGTTCTTTAACAGGGCAGATCTAGCATGACCCTGGCTCTCAGAAGACTCTACTCCCAGCTCTGTTTCTTCTGCCGCATACCATGGCAAACTGGAAGTCTGTTGGACTCTTGGGTGTTAGCTGGTAATAGGGAAGTGGTTGTTACCATAACAAAAACTCCCAGACTGAGGTTTGTGCAGGACAGCAGCTGCCCTAAAGAGCCATCTCCTTGAGCTCCTGCTCTTGTACTGAGCGCAGGGCAGCTGAAAGGGGTGAAGACTATCCCAGAGCAACACACACCACGTGCAGAGTTTGAAGTATTTTACTTGCATGTGCCTGGCCTAAAGCTCGTGGCACAAGGACCCCTGGGTCACAGCATCAGCAAATCACACTGTCCTTTGTGCTCTGACTGGGGGCCTTATGCCAAGCCCATGTCACACGCTCCAGCAGCACCAGCGTCACTTCGTCCCCAATGTCTTGTCGGTACTTGTAACCATCAATACATTGCGGTGTGTTTTCGCTTTGTCGTTTGAAAGGAGTGCAGCAAGCAGTGGCCGTGTCTTCCGTCTCCCCGCCGGCCCCGTTCCAGAGCGTCCCTCCAGCCGTGTCTCAGACGCCCGTCATTGCTGCCACCCCTGTGCCAACCATCACTGCTAATGTCCCGCCTGTCACTGCCCCTCCCGCCGCTGCTCCCCCTCCACCTGCCGCTCCGATAATGCCCGTGGTGCCTCCTACGCCACCGGTAGTCAAGGTAAATGGAGAACTCAACCCCTTCCTCTTCAAAAGGCAATATTTCTAAGCAGTGCTTTATTTTCATCCCCTCACTGCTGGTTACGTGCAGTATTTCTCTTCACGTTTGACTCCTTGCCTCTCCTGTTGTCCTTTTGGGGTGTGCTCAGACAAGTGCTTGCTGTTGAATTTGAGGGGGTTGAGACAAGTTTTGTCAGTTATACTGCTCCCCAGCTGAGATGTCAACTGTAATTGCTCCAGCTTGGTTACAAGCTCTCATCTGACCATGGCTTTAGCCAGCGTTGATGTTCCATGAAACAGAAAGCTCTTGGAGGTTTCCCTCCTTTCACAGCCCAAAGCATCAATTCCCTCTCTGAGCCCCTGATTTCACTGGAACTATTCCTTTAAGGTTTGCAGACTCCAGCACTAGAAATGTGCCTTTCTGCCATAAAGCAGTTCAAGACAAGCCTGTCGCTCCAGTTGGAGGAGACTGATGTTGCCTGCAGGTTGTGGGTGCATTAGTTCTGTCTTCCTTACTGAATAATCTTCTGGGAGTTGTCACTGGTGTTTTGCTTTTTACTATGTTAATTTATGTGTAAATGAAAATGTTGCTCTAAATAATTGGAATATTCCTAGCAAGCTGTGTATTGCTTTAAAAATGATGAAAGCATAATTCAGAGAAAGATGGGGTTTTTTACCTAAACTGGGGAATGAAGTGCAACAGTTTTGGTGTTCTCTAATGGGAGGTTGCATGCACCAGCAGAGCCACAGAATTGTTTTGCTTATTTAACCCTACAGTTTGGGAATTAGTAGAGAAATTGTAAGTCAGATCTTGCCGCTAAGCTGTCTTCTTCAGAAACCTGTCTCGTACTTCACTTTCTGTCCAGATAACTCACTTCTGAGAATCAATTTAATTTTAAAACTCAAGGATGAAACTGGAAGTGAGTTTGTCAAATACGCACTGCAAAAATAATTCTGCTTGGGATTTACTGAAGATCTCCCTGAGATTTCCCAAAGGAACCTTTTTTCCCTTTCTCTCCAGAGAACTAAATTCTTCGTAGGAGCACAAGAGAGAGCTGACTGGACAGTTACAACTTGAATTTATGCGAGAGGGATTTTATTTGCTTAAGGCAAAATCATTAAATTCTTGCTCTTGTCCGTAAGAAGCGATCTACTTCAGCACATCCACTAAGTACAAGGGAGTGAGGGCTCACGGGTCTTTGGTGATTAATATGCTTTGGTTCAGAACTTATAGCCTGATCCTGCCACTGGGGACTCAGACATGTGGTTAAGTTACTGACACTTACTAAGTCACGATGCATCAGCTGAGCTGCAGTAATCGACTGGGCGCACTCCTTTCCCTTGGCAAACATGAGGTAAGAGTCCTTAGTTTAAATCTCAGTGATATACGTAGACTAACACATTTTGCATCGTGTTTGGGGTTGGGCTGGAGACGTGCAAGTGGCTGGTTACTGTGGCTCAGGTGACACATAGTCATAATACATTGTGTGGTAGTCACTGAACTGTGTTGAAGCCTCTCATCACAAGTCCCATTTATCCTGGCGAAGTAATTGTACTTTCTGTCACAGGACAGGCAGATCTCAAAACTAAGGATGACTTGGGCTAGGTTTCTGCTAGTGCAGCACAAGAGCTGGGCATGTACTCACGAAAGTCTGTCTACCTGCTGTTTCAGAAAAAAGGAGTCAAGCGGAAAGCAGACACGACAACCCCCACCACCTCGGCCATCACTGCCAGCCGGAGCGAGTCCCCCACGCCCCTCTCGGACCCCAAGCAGGCCAAAATCATCGCTCGACGGGAGAGCGGCGGCCGGCCCATCAAACCACCAAAGAAAGACCTTGAAGATGGAGAGGTCCCCCAGCATGCAGGGAAGAAGGGCAAACTCTCTGAGCACCTCAAGTACTGTGACAGCATTCTCAAGGAGATGCTTTCGAAGAAGCACGCAGCCTATGCATGGCCCTTTTACAAGCCTGTTGATGCAGAGGCCTTGGAATTACATGACTATCATGATATTATCAAACACCCCATGGATCTCAGTACTGTTAAAGTACGTCCACATTTACCACCTCTTTTGCAGGGTGTTGCAGCCCTCTCGTTGCAGAGGACTGGCTCCTTCTGGGGGAGGGGGAAGGGACAAGGGTAGGAAACTGAACCTGTTTGGATATCATCTGGATATTTTTATATTTTGTTTCCTTCCCCTCTCCTTTTTTCCCCCGTTACCTGGGACATCTGTATTTCTTCTGCACTGCAAAGCAGACTGTGCGATGGCATCCTCTCCTCTTTGTGGATAGTCCAGCTATTTAAACGTGGGACTGTGTTGCGCTCTGAGAAGAAGAGGTGCTGTGTTTCATAGGATTCGATTGATAGTATCCCATTTCCAGAAACTGCTGCCTGCCTGCTTGTTGGCATGATGTGTGGTCCAGATAGGCTTTCGCTGAGCAATTCCAACTGGAACGTGATGACCGCCTGGTACTCGGGGAGGGGAGGAAATAATGTGATGCTTTTGTGGCTCATGCTTGGCTCTTCACGAGCTTAGCTTAGTATGGTCCAATATTCAAGGTAGTTTTCCCAGTATGCTGGAAGGTTTTCTGAATCCCTCTTAAATATCCATGGAGCAAAGCTGTGTTTTCCTAGTTCCCATCTTCTGCTTGGGAGCCAGTCCATGGAATCGGTATTGATGGAGGTGAGACTTTCTTCCACGTGCAGGAAGTGAAGGTATTTCTGCTGGCTTTCACTAATGTGCCAGAAGTGTTTTGCTGCCAGCTGACCCAATGCCTGGGGTGGTCTAAATGCTCAGGTGACAAAAGGGTGGCTGCATTTTTGCTTTCTTTCGTGTTTGTTGGAAAATCCAACGTAGTACCTGGAAGCAGTGTGCCGTGCTCTGATGTGCAATGCCATTCAGCCATGGTGCTACAGGGATTCTTACAGCTGCAGTACTTTTACGAGTATTTTATGTGCGTTCTTTAGTGGTGAGGGAATAGTTGTCGTGGTCTGTGCATTGAGGGTTAGACCAGGAGTTACCAGTGGCTGAGTTTTTGTTGCTGTTCTGATGCGGTGGTTCGAGGCAAGTTCCCCACAGGTCTATTCTGTAGTTCTCCCTGTCATGAAACGGAGGTAATAACACGTAACCTACCTCACAGGGCTGTTGTGAGAACAGATATTTGGAAGGCACTTTCTAAGTAATAATTATTATCATTTGAGTTTGTACAGAAAAGACTATCTCTGAGCTGGCAAAAGCATCTTAAGTGAGCTCTGGTGGAGCTAGGCTTGGAGATGATTCTCCTGAGCTTGCAGTGCCCTTGCTTTGCAAAAGCCAGTGCAATGTGCAGTATTTTTGATTTGCAGTTAAGCTGAGCTGTGTTTAAGGCCTTCAGCAATTCAATGGCCGGAGAAGAGGGCGAAGTGAAGGGTGAGTTGTGCTGCAAGCAAGAAGAGGGAGCCTGAAACGCAGTAGTAAAAGCAGGAGAAAGGACTAGGTTGAGCATGGTAGTCTGTGGTGCAGGAGCTCTGGTGCCTGGACGAACTCATTCGGTTACTGTACTGACTTTAGTGGGACCTTTCAGACCTATTTTCAGCTTAGTCACATTCCCTTGACTTCCTAGGGATGCAATGCATCTCCAGAGATACCCACAGCCTGGTAGATCAAGCTCCAGCTGAATTCAGTAAGATTAGAGATGGAGAGAGTGAAATCCTGACTCTCTCAGAGTTGCTGTTTCCATGTGTGGTTAGCTGGCTTCTTATTGCAAGAGATTCTGTGCTGTGTTCTGCAAAATCTAGGTACGAAGCTGTGATTTCTTGTGTTGGTGATTTCTTCAAACTCAAATCTCTTTATAGTCCTAACTTCATTCTTTTAAAATTAAAAAAAAAACCCAAAAACAAACCACCACGAAAACAACCCTCTGCACTTTTCTGCAAGTGCAGGTAATACTCTCCCTATGTTTTTCTGCCCTAATGTAGGGCAGAAAACTGGAGACAAGTTAATGGCAAACCCAGTCGAGTCTTTTGTATGTAAAGACTCTGGATTTGTCTTTCCACGTGGCAGTATTTTTCTTAATAAACTTGTTTGAAGTGCTGTCTGGTATTGTTTTCTTATGGAGTGTTTTATTATCGTTGCTCTTGGCATGCAGATCGTAGTGTGACTTCTCCGAGATGCGGTCCGTAACACATTAATGGCACGGAAGAGAAACGTGCTGTTTGCAGGCAGTGTAATTCTCTGGTGTCAGGGGCTCTCTCCCTGGCTCTGAAAGGTTTTAGACTTAATTCTGCACAAGTAACAGTGGCTGTGGTAAAGCAGTGCAATAAAAGGCCGTCAAGCTAATCTTGAAAGAATTATGTGAGAAAATATAACGTAAGCATTTCTGCAGCTGTACAAGATTCCTCAGTACCTGGTTGCTTGTCGCTTTGGTTCTCTGCTTATGTGAGGTTTGATTTTTCTTCAGAGGATATCTTTAATGTCCAGGAGCTTTTGGTTTTTGGTGGTTTTTTTTTTTTGTTCCCCCCACCCCGCAGAGGTGTGCTTCTGAAGGATTTGGAGATTTGCTTTCTCTGTGGCGGGTTGGCTGTCGCTACTGTGCCAGGGGAAGTGAGAGGCGGAGGGGCTGTGGCTGATCTCGTCTCAGGCAGAAGCAGTGGGGTGTGCCGCGGCGCTGAGTCGGAGCTGGGACTGAGAGTGGGAGGAACTGAAGGGACAGGATCCGTGAGCTCGTCGCCGCCTCAGTTCTTCGATCGCCTTTTCTTGCAATTAATTGCTATGGTTTCAGAGCAGCCGAGTTCAGGGTCTTGAAACTGAGGAGCCATTCTTTGAGTGAATTTTAAAGATTTCTTTGCTTACAGCTATTTTAGAATGCAAACACAGCTTCACAGAGCTGCTGCTTTTGTTGAGGTGATTTCTGAAAGGTGCACTTAGGCCCCCAGAAGTCAGGCTGAGTCCTTGTTAGCTGGTAGAGATGGTATTTTCTCTGCTAAAGTCACTGAGCCTGTGTGGCCCTGTCCCTCGTCAGCTCCTGCTCTTGTGCCGTGCCCAGGGCATGTGCTTTGGGGACAGATTGGTGTTCAGTTTAGTCTTGGAGAAGAAACAGCGGAAAAGTGTTAGATCTTCAAACACGTAAAAGATTGCTGCAAGAAGGGAGGGAGCAAATTTTTCTCTCCATTCTCTGTGAGCAAGACAAAGCTAACCTGTGATGAAGAGCCGTTTCTGAATGTTAAAGAATATTAAATAATTGAAATGATTGCTGTAGTAGATGTTATGTGAGGCAGAGAAAGGACTAGCTGACCTCCCAGCACCTCTGCCAGTCCTCCTTGTCTATGACTCCTGATTTGCAATTGTAACTCTAGTAACTTTTTTAAGCACCTGGATATCTCAAAGTGAATTTGTAACTGAAGATATTCCAGGCCAGCAATTTAAAGTCCTTTTTTTTTTCCTTGCTTTTGTTAATTTAATTATTCTTTACAAGAAAACAAAACAATCCCCAGATTAAAACCGTTGGGCTAAAAACCCATTTGGTTTCGTGAAAGTGGTGCCTCAGACACTGGAATGTATTTTGTAGGCAGTAATCAGCCACAGAGTGTGCCAAACAAATATAAGTGCATGAAAAAGGCCTTTCATGCAGCAAGGCGTATTTTAAAATAAATGGGCCCTTTCGGTTGAACTTATGTTTTGCTTTGGATTTGGCCTGAGACGCGTTTCAAACAAGGCCAGCTCTCCTTCGGGTAGGAGAGGCACAAACCTATTTCATTTTCTGTCTTTGTGCTGTGGCTCGGAGGCTGTCTCCTGGTTTTATTCACGAAGAGAAGGAGGTTTTGCAATGAAGGTTTGACAGCTGTCTGGCTGCAGCAGAGCAGGGCGTAAAGCTGCAGGAATGTCACCGCCCTGCACACAGGTCCCTCCAAAGCTGCAGCCCCAGAGGTGAAGTTCTGCCCTGGTCAGAACATAAAAAAAAAGTTTTCAGAGTCGTTGCAGTGTTCTGAGACAGTCACAAGGTCTGCCATGGAGCTGTGAAATACCTGTAGCTTCCATTGAACAAATGGTAATTTTGCTTGTGTTAAGTGTGGGTTCCAGACCCTGAGCCTTGCTTTCTGCTTGGGGGGGGGGCCGTGCCTTCCCTGCTCGTGTTTGCAGCCCGGCAGCCCTTCCCTGCGCTGGGGGATACAGGTGCAGGAGACTTACAAAAGGGAGGCCTGCAAGCACTTGGCGAATAGAGAATTTCTTTAAACCCAGGTCTTCTTAAATGCAAATGAAATCTAGTGTTAGCTTCCTTTTCCTTTCAGTAGGAGTAATTGGAGCTAAGGTTTTATACATAGTAGTAATATATGCATAAAATCAGTAAAGTTCTAGGAATGCTATAAACTATTCTCTAAACCCAAGTCATTCAGTCCCAAACAGCAAGAGAGGATGAAAGTGGGAGATGAAAAATGAGAGAAAGGAACAAGATGCAAATGCTGATATTTACCTTCAGTACAGTAGGAAATAACGTTATGAACAGGTTCATAAAATGTAAGTTCTGTATCCTCTCTGTATCGGTTGGATGTTCAGATCGAGAGCAGTTGAACTGTAATTGCCTGTCTTGCTGTAGGAATTGCCAAACGAAATTCATGCCCAGTGTTAGCAGGAAGTTGGAGTTAGATGCTCGTGATCTTTTCTGCCCTTTCAGATTTGCAGGGCAAATATGCCTGAGCAGCACGTAGAAATACATGCTTAAGGTACTAGTGTAATTGTAGCTCGGTTGTTTACTGACTCTTGCCCTTTCTGTCCATGCTCCTTGTTTACATTAGTTTGTGATCCAGCAAATCCTTTTTCTAAATGACTCTATTTTCTCATAGAGTAAGGTCTCTGACAGATTTATATAGTACTACTTAGAAAACAACTCAAATTTCAAATCTCAAAGTGTTTAAACTGTTATGGAGCAATGTCAGCTTATTTGGTTGCTTGGTGTGTGCTTGCTTGCTTGTTTTAAAAAGTATAAAATCTGAATGTTATTTAGGAGCCAATAACCCAGATCAAACCACTGTTCTCTTAGACAAATGTGATTTTTGAGGCTGTTCTGAGCTGTCTCCAAGATGCAAGTGTCCTCCATACAGTTACTACAAATGCCTTTTGCTTATGGCTTTTTCTCCCCTTTCCCTTTGGCTTGTTTGTTTGCAGAAAAAAATGGACAGCCGGGAGTACCAGGATGCACAAGGTTTTGCAGCAGATATTCGGTTAATGTTCTCTAATTGTTACAAGTACAATCCTCCAGACCACGAAGTGGTAGCGATGGCCAGGAAGCTCCAGGTAAAGGTGTTGGAAAATGTGTCTTCCACAGTATGTTTAGTGTCAGCCACGGGGCATCCACTGATAGATCCAAGTGTGGATCTGCTCTTGGCACCAACAAGGGAGAGTCTGTGATTCCTCCAGCCCTTGGAAAGAGCCGTGTTCCCTGCTGCAGAACTGTTATGTTCTTCGCATGGCATGGCCCAACACAACATTCCACTCCTAAAACGTTAAAATTTTTGCTGTATACAGTAATGGGAGAACTTTCTTGGCCTTACAGAATATGCCCATCTGTACGTTATTATCGTACAGCACTTTGTGTAGTGCAGTAGGACCCTAACCCACGGTGGGGTTTCCGGTGTGTTTAAAATGCCAGAGGCATTTCTTTGTCGTTGAGTTTGTGTCTTTTGTCACTAATTTTCCCTCCCCTCCCGCCTTTTTTTTTTTTTTTTTAGGATGTCTTTGAGATGAGATTTGCAAAAATGCCTGATGAGCCTGCAGAGGCCCCACCTCCGGCTCCACCAGCAGCACCAGTGGTGAGCAAAAGCACAGAGAGCAGTCACAGCAGTGAGGAGAGCGCTTCCGACTCAGATAGCTCGGACTCAGAAGAGGAGCGAGCGACTCGGCTGGCGGAGCTCCAGGAGCAGGTACTTCAGTGGCCACGTTGTGTCTGTGCAGCGGGAGAGGGTTTAATTTTGGTCTTAAAAATCCCATCGAGGCTGGGATGCAGCAAATCAATCTGCTCCCCCCGCCAGCTAAATGGGAAGAATGCCTGGCTGTGAAATAAGGGCACGTTTGATGTAATGGGGTTTTTTGTTGATAGAGCCGTGCTCGGTGCTGGTGCTCTCTGCTTCCTTCTGGGGTACCAGAGTATGAGTAAAGGTGCACACAATAGCAGAGGTCTAGAAGGAGCAGACACATTTTTTATGAGATCTCAGGCATACTAAAATCTGTCACAGGCTGCCTGTGGCATATTGTTCCCTTGTCCCTTGTCTGTAGAAGTGACCTGTTTTGACCGTTGGAGTTGCAAACGCTTAAGCCACGGCCTTTCTTATTATGCAGGTGTACAGTGCCAGATGTTGCAGTGCTTATGTGTGCTACTGTAATGCAACAAAGCATTAACAGAATAGTTTATCTGATGTCTTAAAGCAAGCTTTTAGGAGAGCCGTGAAGGAACCCAGGATTCCAGAGGCCAAGTTGTCAGCACTCTAGACAGAGCTATTAAGCTTAATTTTTATTTGCCCCTATAAAACAAGAATAACGTATTTGTTGGAGTCAACTTCTGTGTACATGCAATTTATTTTTTTTAAAAGAATTTCAAATCAAGCAAAGTCTCCTGAGTTCAGTCACTAGACTGCTGGATTGGTGACCTTGGGATGTGCTTACACATTGGGTTGTAGAGGAAAGATATGTGGGGGCATCAGTTACTCTGCCTTGAAGTCTGGTTAATTTTTTCACTGTTCTGCCCCAGCTAAAGGCTGTCCATGAGCAGCTAGCTGCATTGTCACAAGCACCGGTGAACAAACCAAAGAAAAAAAAAGAGAAGAAGGAAAAAGAGAAGAAGAAGAAAGATAAAGAGAAGGAAAAAGAAAAGCACAAAGTAAAAACTGAGGAGGAGAAGAAACCCAAGGTGGCTCAGCCGCCAAAACAAGCCCAGCAGAAGAAAGCCCCAGCTAAGAAAGCAAACAGCACAACGACAGCCAACAGGTGAGAGCCTGCCTCTGCCAGTGCTCCTAAGGGGAGTGCGGAGAGCTTCCCGTCTGGTTCTCTTGTCCATCCTGTCCCCTTGAATTCCTGTGAAGCTTAATTGTCAGAGCAGATAATTTACTGTTGGAACAGCATCCCCATTCCCAGACAACTCCAGGGAGTCTTTAAGTTAGAGCTGGCAGTGGAACCATCGTATTTCTACTGTCCAATTCCTTTAGAATCCCTGTCTGATCATTCTCGGATAAGATTTTGCTTTTTGCCTTTTGTGCAGCCAGCAAGATCGTGCCATTCCATTGCTGCCCCCCTGCTGAATGTGGGCTTGTTGTCATGCCTCACAGGGCTAAAATATAGGAGTAGAACAGCTGATCTCAGATTTCTGAACTTTTTCAGAAGTTTCGGTGCTGTTCGAGCTGCCTGACTGGAGGTTCGAAGCCAGGACCATTGGGATGTTTGTTACAAGGGGATAGAAAAAGAGTTCACTGTTGCTATGTACTCATGAATCTTTCCATGTTTGTCAACCCCCTCAGGCAGCCCAAGAAGGGAGGCAAACAGGCATCTGCAACCTACGATTCAGATGAGGAGGAGGAAGGTCTGCCTATGACCTATGATGAGAAGCGACAGCTCAGCTTGGACATCAACCGCCTGCCTGGGGAGAAGCTGGGCAGGGTGGTGCACATCATCCAGTCACGAGAACCTTCCCTCAGAGACTCCAATCCCGATGAGATAGAAATAGATTTTGAAACATTGAAGCCCACAACTTTACGAGAACTGGAGAGATACGTGAAATCTTGTTTACAGAAAAAACAAAGGAAACCATTTTGTAAGTTACCTCCTGGGGCATGTAATCCCCCACCAGCTTTTGGGCTCAGCTTTGGAGTTCAGGGCATGTGTGTTGGGATTCTCTTATCCAGCTGTTGCGTAGGTGATGACAGGGATTTTTAGAGCTTCTTTTTCCCCAGGAAAATGCACAGAATCTTTTCTTTTTTTTTTCTTCCTTTCCGTGACATCATGCTGTGGAGACCTGGAGGACTATTGTGTTCCTCTACAAGACCTGTGTGATATCTTTTATTACTTATCTAGAATCTAGAAGGCACTATAAATGTTTCAGTCTCATTGTGTTAGGTATTATGTGCACACATCTGGAAGGATCAGTTTCTTATCCTGAATAGTTTAGCATCTAATTAGGAAGGAAACAAAAAGTGTGGCTGGGATCCAAAACACCGAGGAAATAAATAACTTGCACAACGTTACCTCAGCAACCTGTGCATTCTGGCTCTTAAGTGTCCGAGTTGTGCTCTTCCTCGATGGCCTGATGACACTATTACCCTCAGCCTATTAGATCAGAGGGTTAATGTTAACGAGCTGCCGAGCGTACGGTTTGGTATGGGACAGGTTTTTCTCTGTGCCTTATCCACAGAGAGTGAATTGTTGTGGCCCCTTGGGAGTTTAGCTCCAGCTCAATAGCAGTCGGGTCACTTACCTGAAGTGGTCCTGGCTCCGTCCATCTGCTTGTCAGTTGAGAGTTGTCCTGCTAAGAGTGTAACACAATAGCTGCTCACAACTTTTGCAGAGCACCTCTGTTTCTTCACCACAGGATTTCCAGGTAGGCCTAAGCAAAGCTCAGACTCTGACCCTTTTTGCTTTTCAATACGCTGCTTTGGTTATTATTGGAATAGATCAGGAGCAAGTTTTCCAGAGTGGTTAGGAGCAAGAACCACGCGAACTCTTGCGCTGTCCGTTGCAGTGCTTGGTGTTGAGGGGCACACCCTCGCAGGACTGTGCTTTCCAGATTTCTTTTTAAAAATCATTACTTTAAAACAGCACACACAGAAACGTAGGTATTTCCTTGCTGGATCAAGCAAAATATCTGGCCCCCGCCTTGTGCTTTTGATACTGGCCAACACCTGTGTCCAATTACCCCTTCTTTGGAGGGGTACTTCTGCTCAGCTGCAGGAATGTTGCTGGCACTTGCCACTATTTCCATCCTGACAGATGCAGCTCCATTCCTGTTGTCTGCCAGCCTTTGCCTCGGTTGGTTTTTAATTTGCCTTTTCTTCTTTTGTTTTGTATTTAAAGCACATACCACAGTAGATTCTTTCATGAGGTATCTTGAATTTTAATGGCAGGTGCTTACTTCTGATAACTTTTAATGGGACACTTTATTTTACAGGGCAGAAAACCCATGTAACAATTCTGTAATTACAAATGTGTAGCTATTGACCGTATAACTGGCTGGTAAGTAACCTGTAACTACAAGGTTATTCCATGGATATTTCTATCTTCTAAATACTTTCCAGAAGATCTCTGTTAAAAAGTGCATGTTACAGGATGACGGTGATTGGATGATCTAGACAACTTCACACGTTGTCCTCTATCTGGGATGTGTAGTTGCTGTGCAGTCGCTTAATCTTAGCAGTGTCACTGCAGAGCGGTTGCGCAGATTTACATGCCCTGTAAAATAGTGATGTCCACTCTTTTTCACCTGCAACCACGCAGTTTCAGAAATTGTGCATTCCTCCTCCACAGCTGCAAGTGGAAAAAAGCAAGCAGCAAAGTCAAAAGAAGAGTTAGCTCAGGAAAAGAAGAAAGAACTAGAAAAACGGTTACAGGATGTCAGTGGGCAGCTAAACAACAACAAGAAACCTGCAAAGAAAGGTAATGGCTGAGGTTTTACTGTGCTAACAATGCCTGAAAACTGTGTATGTGGATAGATTTCCTCACTGAGGCAAAACTACTGCCCTCTTGAGGCCTTGGGTTTGTCTCTGCGATGGTTACCCCAGGTGGTCAGCAGTGTTGGGGCACAGCGAGTTACTGCTGGGCACTGAGCTTCGGCTTGGGGGTTGCTTTGGTCGCTGTCCAGGTGGAAGCACTCCAGGGTGGTAAATGTGAGGTGTCTGCGGGGCAAGTCACCCTTCGGAGGGACGAGGATCTCCTCCTCAGTGTTAGCCTGTGCAGGACTGGGTGTAGGGATCAGTGCCGCAGGGCATTCTTCTCCATTGTGGGATTAAAAAAAGCCCAAGCTCCCCCACAGTGCAGTAGGGTGGAAGATGGTACAGAAGGTTCTTCCGTGCAAGCTGAGCTTGTTTTGGCTTCACGCAAGTCTGGGTTTCTTGTTCAGAGCTTGCCCTGAAGCACGCGAGGCTGTGGACACGGCTGCCCAGGTGCTCTGCCCTGGGTCACCACAAGCTGTGCAGGGCTGTGCTCCTGGGCAGAGCCCGGGCTTGGTGGTCACCCTCAGCCTGAGAAGCCGCCTCACCTGCTGATGGTCACAGCAAGGATGGGCTGGGGGTGAACAAGATGCCCGGGCAAAATGAAGTTGTGAATGAAGGCTTATCCATTTCAGTTCCTTGCCAGTAACGTAGCGCTGCCTCCTTCCCTGCAGAGAAGTCCGGCTCGGCCGCCTCCGGAGGCCCTTCCCGGCTCAGCAGCAGCAGCTCCTCCGAGTCTGGGAGCAGCAGTTCCAGCGGCTCCAGCTCAGACAGCAGCGATTCAGAATGAGCTACGGACACTTACACACAAACCACAGAATGGACATCACCCTCACTGATGCTCTGCAGTGTTCCTTTCTCCTTAATATACTGCTCTTCTTCCACGGTGGTCAGGTTTTTGGGTTTTTTTTCTCCCCTCTCTCTTTCTCTGACTTTTTATTTTATTTTTTTAATTCAGTGTTATAAAAGGTATCTTCCATTTTTTGGGGGGCGCTCTTTTAATAGGTCAAAGATCTTGGTGTGTGTGTGTGTGTGTGTGTGACTAGACTTTATGAGAAATAGTTCCCTTTGCATAAAGTCTCTAAAATACATTTTAACTGAAGAGGATTGGTTGAAAATGGAAGAGCTTCGAACTCTTAGCAGGAGATAAACAGAAAGTTCTGCAAGGTTTGTAGTACACTTCCCTTCTGCCCCTTCCTTCTCCCCAGAAGAAGCCTGCCTGGCTCACACAAGGTAAAAAAAATAATCTTTTTTTAAAAGAAATCTCTGTAAAATGGTACTGTATCTGAAAGATGTTAGCTTTTGAACTAGTTGGTGTATTTGTTATTAGCACTAGTATTCTTGATCTCTAAGTCTCCAGTGTGATGAAGATGTCAGATGCTATCATCTTTTTACATAAAAACAAAAAAACACACACAAAAAAATCTCCTGTACTGTGGATTGCTAACATGCTTTTTTTTAATCTTGGTAGAGGCATAAGCACCTGTTCAGGAAGGTATTTAAGCATGAGTTTAACTTTAAGCACATGAGCAATATAAGTGGTTGCATTTCTTTTTTTTTTATTATTTTTTTTCCTCACTCAAAATTTTCATTTTTTTGAGGCATGCGTTGGGAAGAAGGGAGCAAAGGACACTCAAGTTTCTTGGGAATGTTATTTTTAACATCAAATAGATAATTTCCAGGAAATGGACACTCTCTATGAAAGTTTTCATTTAATTGAAACCAGGTTTTGGCTGAAAGTTCTCAGCTGGACTTCAGAGTGACCCCTGCAGAGTGACCAAGGCAAGTCATGTGCTCCTTATTAGACACATGCTTAAGTGTTTTCTCCATGACAAGCATCTCAGTCTGGGCTTAAAATAAAGGAGCACTTGAGCTCCAGCTGAGGCTGAGCTGGCAGGGGAATTGGAGAGGGATGTTGTGTGTGTTTGGTTTATTTTATTTTTTTTTCTTCTCTCTCCTTATTTCAGCAGTGAGCTTCTAGAAAGGGAATGCTACTTCTGTGTCATGCAGGATGCAGGTTTCCAGGCACTGAAATGCTTACCTCAATAAAAAGGAAATAGAGGGGAGAGAGAAAAAAAGAAAAGAGACTTTTTATTTTTAAGGCTTGCAATTTTTTTAGTCCAGCCTAATGTTTTGACCTGCACTGCTGCAATACACTCTGTTTTCACTGTCCCTAATTTCATGTATATACAACTACTTTATTTATTAAACACCATTGGTAATTTAAATCTTAATTAAAAGCAAAAAAACGAAAGCAAAGCTGTATTTATGCATACCAGCAGAAATGCAGACTTTTAATGTGGTTTGAATCAAATTTTACAAAAACAATAACGCAGTTGAAAAATCAGAGACTTTATTTAAATACACTGGACTTCATACCTACAGGTGCTACAGTCCAGTCTATCGTGTGTCTGGTGCTCTGTCACGTTTGGTGTGTTTATTTTTTGATTTATTTTCTCTCTTCTCTCTTTTCACCTCAGCCCCCTTTTTTCCTGTTTTGTACAGATTTTGGAGACATACAAGTAGATACAATTTCTTGATGCAGCACATTACTATTTTCTCAGTAATATTTCAAGAGATATCCCCCCGTGGGTTTTTTTTTAATTTTATTTGTAGAACAGTGCTTTTTTTTTTTTCTTTTATAATCCAATTGTGGGAAAACACCATTTCTATAATTATATAAAATTTGTAATCTGAGGGGCAGAAGTTTATTGTAAATTCTTAACTTTTTATTGTAAAGAAAAATTATACAGAGTTTAACAGAAAGTTATGCCTTTCCCTCTCCCAGCACCAGCCCCTAAGGCTGCCTCTCCTCTCCGTGGGGCAGCCCTAAAATCCAGCCCGTGCTGTGGTTTCCAGCTGCGGTTTGTCAGAGGTCCCACCCTGCGGGTTGCGCCGGCTTTTCTTTTTTGCAGAGGCGAGTGGCCCTGGAGGGCGCCTCAGCCCCAGTTGCCTCCCGGAGCTGGGATTTGGATTATCCCAGTGATGTCCCCTCCGCTGGGAAGCACGGGGCCAGCCTGCTGTTAGCACTCCATGCTTTGCACTTGTGACTGCATCCGCGCCCGGCTGCTGGTCACCCACTGCCCATCGACCAGGCTTTTCTTAGCTAGAACTTCAGGCATCGTCTTTTAAGATCTGTCTTGCAAAGATCAGCGTTTTGGAGCGTTCAGGTGTGCGTCTCTGACAGCTGACACACCTCTGTCCATGTCTTACCTGTAGAGTGACACTCTGCACTGTTTGCTCTAGAAGAGAATTCCCCTTTTTTTTATTTTTTTATTATTAATGCTAAGAGCCGTGCTGCGTTGCTGCAAAGCACTGAGTTCCTCCTCTAAGGTGTTGGGCATCTTTGGTTCATTTTGCAGTCACCAGGGTGCTGGGCTCAGCGGCAGAAGGCTCTCAAGTCTTTGCAGATAGTTTCCCATAGTATCTGAAAGTGGATGAACTAGGGTATTCCGAGTCTTACTGAAAGTAATGATTTTTCTTCTCCATTAACAATGGAGTTATTCTTAGTTTCTATATTTTTTTAAATTCTGCCCCTTAAAAAAAGAAAAATCTTCCTCTAGGCAGATCCTTAGTAATATATTTTCAGAACTGACTGTGAGAAAAGTAATACACAGCTAAGAGCTTAGGTTTGGGGTTTTTTTTAAATGGGCTTGGGTTTCATCTGTGTTTCTCCTATTGCCTGAGACCTGCATTATCAAAACCAACTTGTATTTTAATGAAAATATTTGCAACCGATTCAATACCGTGACAACCCGGATAAACAAGCTCCTAGTTTTTCCTGCTGGAAACCTTTTCCCCGCTTGTGTTAACCTGAGCTGTGCCACCGATGTAACCTGGTTGTCGCTCCCCTGCGGACACCAAACCGCAGCCGGCGTTGGAGGCGATAACAGCCCGCTCTGACCAGCGTCACCTCACAAACCCCGGGCTCTGCGGTGATGCCACCATCCTCCGACATCGGGGATAACCCCGCTGACCACGGCCGGGCGCCAGATGTTCCTCTAGGATGCGTAGGTGTGTCCTGCTGGCATCAGTGGAAAGCTTAGAGCCAAAACTGGGGACCAAGTGCGAGGCGATGGCAAAGAGCCCTGCACTGCTGGAGGAGGAGCCTTCTTTTAGTCGGCCAGCCTGTCCTAGCTTGGGGATTTGCAAGGAAAACAAGCAATCAAAACCACCCAAGGGATAAGAAGAACCACCTGCATATCTTTTAAATACCCAGCTGCGACTTGTGCTACCATTTAATGGGAAATTTTGGTTGGTTTTGTGGAAAGGAAGATGTTCCCTGAGAAATAGCAGCTCCCAGGAGGAAACCACTTTGGCACGACCTGCATTTCGGGAAGGAAATCGGTGACTTCATTTCAAAATGTTTTTCTTACACTTCTTCATTCTCATATTGTTTGTAGCGCTCGTTATCTCCTCTCCCGACATGTCAGTAGTGGTGTCTCTTGTGTCTCCAGGAAAGAAGAGATGTTTTCAGTCCATAGGAAGTGGCAGCAGCCCTTCATCACTTGGAAACTGAACCAATAGAGCATTTATTTAACTGAGTTTGTGTTGCATGACATGTCAGTACCGACGTCATGATATAACTTTAGAATGAACAAACATATAACATTTGAAATAACATTTTTAAACTTGAGAATAAAAAAAAAAGTTGAAATTTTTATGGTAGAATTTTTCTTGAACGAACAAAGTTTAACTTTGTTTTCCAGGGGAAACTTCACTGAAATCAGTATGATTTCATATGTATGCATACACACAAATAGTTTTAGTGAAACTGTTTTTACGGATGGATTTCCTGTTTTTGACAAAACAATATCTGACCAGACCTGTTGTCAATCAACCAGCATTACTGCACCTTTTAAAAACTTTGTTAAACTTTATCTGATTGTAAGGTCAGCCTCTGTCTTGGCGTTACCATCAGCCGTAGGCCCGGTGGGACCAGCGGGAGATCCGCATCCCGCGAGCTCGCGCCCTGAGCCGGCGACTCAAGGAACCTGTGGCGTCACCGCGGCTTCCTGCGAACCAAATGCTGTCTGTACAAAAGCGTTTTCAGTTTTGTATCGATGGGATTTTCAGCTTTTCCTACCGACAGGGTTTGTAACTGTAGAACTGATGTTTCAGGACTGTGTAACTGTCGTTTGTGAGTGTGTGTGGGGTGGATGCACGCGCCCGCCCACGCACCTCCACGAGCACGTGTGTGCGTGTGTACAGACACGGTAGTTACCCCGTGAGGTCTCTTTCCATGTTCTCTATGTGGTAGAAGCAGACTGCAGTTACCTAATCGAGTTTTTTTCTCTGTTTTGGGGACTCTTAGACCAGTTTTTTTAAAGGGTTGTTTGTTTGTTTTTTTCCCTGTTGTGAAAGGAATGATTTTTTTTTATTTTTTTTTTTAAAGTTGGGGTTGGAGCTAGGGGGCAGGGATCGGGGCATGGCTAAGAAAATCCACCACCTTTTTAATACTGGATTTTAAAAAGATCTATTCTCAAACATGAGCACTTACCACTAGGGCTAACTGTGGGCAGGCTCTGCATTGCTGACGATCAGTATAGGGCGAGGATTCATCACACGAGCAGCATTATCTTGCTTGTAAAACAATGAGATGCATTTTTTTAAAGAAATGGTATTTGCATATCTTTTTAAATGTAATTTTTAAAAATAAATAAACCACCAGCTAGGATTTGACACGGGCCACTTAGAACTTACCCCAATACTGGCATAACCAATCCAGAAAGATTTGTTGTTGTATTTTTGGTTTATTTTTTTGGATTTTTTTAATATTTAAAAAAAAAA